CCCCCCCCCCAGTCTTCTCTTCTCAAGGCTGAATATGCCCAGTTCTCTCAGTTGCTCCTCATAGGACAGTGTTTCCAAACCCCAGATCATTTTTGTTGCCTTCCTCTGGACCCTTCCTAATTTTTCTTCATCTTTCTTAAATCTTGGTGCCCAGAACTGGACACAGTATTCTAGATGAGGATCCCCTATAAATCCATTTCCGTTGGTAGCCATCTCCAGTTCCCTTATAAAGCCATCTCTGTTGCAAGCCATCACCACATCTTATAATTCTGCTGATAATATTGTGGTACCCTCTTGATACAAAACTCCAACAGGATATTAGAAAAACAGCTACCATAAATCCTAAGCTTCATCTGATCAGCACTATTACTATATTCCCCTTCTTCCACAATGGAATTCAAGGCAGGAAACTTCCCAGCCAGCTACTGAACATATCCCAAGTTTGGGTTCCTGCATGATGAGCCTTCAGAGTGGTACATTGAACACAGTGGATAGAAGTTGTTTTGTTTTGATCCCTGAATGGTTTTTCTGCTCTGCATTCCAGGGCTGGTCTTCCCATCCAACAGAGAGAAGCCTCTGCTTGGGGTGGAAGAATGAGAGGAGTGGTAAATTGAGCTATTCTCCTCACGCTGCCTTTACCTGGAAGCCTGCCTCTTCCTCTAGCAGATGCTCCACCAGCTGCTCCATGGCCATAGCATTTGCTGAGGCAAGAGAGGGAGACCAGTGGGGTTTTCTCAAATAGCCACCTTCTCAGTCATGCTAGTAAGTGAGCCAGAGAGACCTGCCAATCCCTCTTGCCCACTGAAGCAAATAATGCAGTAATAATAAAGATTGGCTCTCCAGGGTGGCTGCTCACCCTCTGTCTTGCTCTCAGTGTGAGCCAGACTCTCTGCAGAGCTAAGTCAGCCAGAGAAGGGGGTGGTGCAACTCTTCAGAGAGTTGAGGCCTAAATGCCTATTTGTATGGGGTACCTCCAGAGATCCATGCATGGTGGGAGAGGGCATCTCAGGAGGTTGTTGGGGGGGATGGACTATCTCAGAGACAGGAATTTGGACCTTGACTGTCTGGAGAGCTGCACAAACCACCTGTTACAGCTGGCGTGGCTTTTCAGACAATAGGTGCAGTGATGGCAATGGGAGGGCAGGGTGGGACGTTCTTCCATCTCATGCAACTTAGAAACACAGAAAACATGGTAACACAGAAAACAAATCGAGTCAGAAGGGGTCTCCTGGGCCATCTAGTCTGACCCGCAGCTCCGCTCATGACTTGCCTACCATGAGCACTTGTCCCAGCCCTGCTGCATTCTGCTTACTAGCCCTACCTAGAAAGAACACAGTGTGATCCATATTGGGATTACATCCCATAGGAGGGATATCACAACAGGAAAATGCATTAAAGACTGGGGAGGCTCATTTCTCCCACTCATACCTGCACTGGGCTGGAGGCAAATGCAAGGTTAATTCTCCAGTATAAAGAAAAGAGCATATCTGAAAGCTCAGGCTCCCTTGCAAGCAATCAAGTTGGTGTTCTGTGTACATTATGAGACATTTAATTCCCATGGATAAATACCCTGGTAAAGAATAGAGAGGCCAACACAAAAACAACCATCCCATCCTTCATGAAGTATTAAACATTAAATATTAAATCAATAGATTGCCATGGGCACTATCTAGGAAGAATCAGCAATAGTCTGGGCAAAATGTAACATGACCACGCAGAAGTGTTGGCAAGACCTCTGGGATCAAGCTTTGGCATTTTCAGGGCAGCGTTTGAAGTGCTATAGAACGGTGCAAAACTGGTTTGATCAGAGTCCGTGGCTTGACCCCAAAAAAGAGCATGTGAACAAGGTTGGTCCGATCCATGTTGATTTCATTCTTTCCAGGCAAGTGTGATACATAAAGAATGACCCAGTTTTGTGCTTGCAACTTTTCCTATAGTTTTTAAAGACTTTTAAATTTGGTGCAATGCATAGATATTAAAAAGCTTCACTGCTTGGCAGAACAGAAAAAAATACATGTCTGTGTGCACACATTTCTGTATTGCTAAACTTATCTATATATTAGAAACCAAAAACTCACAGATGAAGGCTTTGAAATCTGCAGCAACTTTTCACAGCTGACATTGCACAAAAAGTTATCACGAGAAGTGTGTGGTTTCTTTTAGCCTGCTGGCAGCTTTGTACCTGAGAATGTCACTCACCAACACATAAAAATGAAACACATACCTTTGGCACCAGAACATTCCCACAGTAATTCTTGTTGCTGAACAGCTAAACGCACCCTTAAATGAACTGTAGAGAATACCTCCCATAAGAGGTTTGTACGCAAAATCCTCAGGAAGCCACAACAACAGAATTCGCAGTACTCATGAAAAGCTCAGGTCAGTTCACCGATAGGGAAACACATAATTCCACCACAAAGGAAGCACTGCCATATTCCCAGAAGGATTGGTGCCAGAAGAACTATTTCAGAAAACCCTCAATAAAACCTGGAGATTACTTTTGTGTTCACACCCTTTTATTACTCAGTCACCTATTTAAGTAGATGTTTTGGGCTCTGTACCCAGCATGGAGATGTGTCAACAGTGCCATGTTTTGGCAGTATGTTAAGGGTCCGTAAACTCAGGCAAATATCTGCCATGAGAGATTTGGTCTTACAAACAGGCACATTAGCAGTAAGGCTATAAAAGACGTGCTCCAAAATATTGCAAAGGATTTATTGAATACATGTCTTTTGGAACCAACACCTAAACATGTAAGTCATCTGTCAGAAAAGGTGTGAACATCTTGGGATCTTTGACAAAAGTTTTAGCCTCGGAACAAAACAGTTGTTTGCTGCCAGCTTGTTGCACTGCGATATTTGTCTGAGGAAGCTCCAGATTTGTAAGTTCCGACACATCGTCACACCTCTGCACTGCTGCTGCTCTGATGGACTTCTTCATAAATTACAATTCATAGTGATACTCAATACCTTGTTGCTAAAGAAGAACATACCGTATGGAATGCGATCTAGGAAAATATCATGGAACAATTGAGCCCAACCTGCTTGATGCCTCTCATGTTTGCATCCCTTGTCATCTAAGGTTACACTTGAACTCTGTTGGATTCCAAATTGGAATGGCTGTCCTTGTCTCTATTAATTGCTTAAATTGCTGAATGGGCTTCATTGGCTGATTTAAATTCTTTAGGCAGTATACAGTGCAGTTTCCCAGCTGGTTCTGTTGTGCTTGCAGGAGTGATTGCTTGTGCAATGGGACACACACTAAAAACAACCCCAGAAATTAGTGGAGATGCTCCTTTCCAGACTGGGATAGGTCAGCAGAGCATGAAAACCGTATTGTGCGAGTGGTTGTTCCACGAGTGAATGGCACAATATTCTCGATGCTCTAAATTGAAAGGTATAAATGCTCAAAGCAAACAAATAAGTAAAGTCCCGACTCTTCTCATAATGTTCCCATGATATGGTGGAAACTCAGTGAGCAAAGTTATTATTGTCACTCGAAACAAAATGGGGCATGTAAAACACACATGTCTTTCTTTTTCAAATGGGTTTGTGCTGAAAGTCACTTCCAACAAGTAAAAAAGGTAAAATAGCACACCTCAAAACTTGTACCTGCTGTGAAATTGACCTTCAGGTTGGTGACAATGGATAAGCAGCTAAGCAGGAGGCTAAAATATCAGAAAGTGCACTAATACTTCTTTTTTAAACTGGTCAGTTAGCAGCCTTCTACAGAAAAAAATGTAAAAACATTCTAAACAACAGATATGCTAGATACAAGTTTTTAACATCTTGTCTCAACCAATCATTAAACCAAGGAAATTAAAAAAAAAAAAAATCCACCAGCAACATCATCTGTAGTTTGACATGGGAAAAAGCCTCTTTTCATTTGATTGGGTATTAAAGAGTTCTTTACGTTAAAGATTAAAAGGAAAAAATGCAGGAAGTATGCAGGAAACACTATGAATTCATGCCATTCATTATGTCACCATTTTGAGTTATGGCACTGATAACAGAATTGTGGTAGTCACACTTCAAATGCTGTGCTATCTAATATACTGCTTTGATTCCAAAGAGCCTTCCAAAGCATAGAAACAGAGCGAGTCAGAAGGGGCCTCCCGGGCCATCTAGTCTGAATGGTCTGCTCATAAAAAGCATATGAAGAAACAACAAACCCTCATAAATGCAAGCGACTCATTTAAGATCACTTTATTACATATTTACAGGTGCAATGTGTACTTTGCAAAATAGTAGCTGTCAAATAGTTTTTCTAAGGGGATTCTCAATGAATGTGCTTTTGTGTAGACTGCAGCTGTGACATCCAGGTCCTGTATAGGAAGGAAGCCTGTATTATTTTTATCCTCTTTAGCTGTACTGCTTCCACCAGTTAGGGTGACATCCAGGGTGGATGCCCATAACCCCCTGAACTGGGGGGATTATGGGTATCCATGGAAGGTAGGAGAGCTCCAATGAGGATTGCCCCTATGCTTCTCTTGCCCTCCCAAGTACTTGGTTGCACGCATCTGCTAGTGAGGAGGCAGGGCTGAGGTACCACAGTGATTCCTCACATCCTGGTAGAGCGAACAGCAGCTCTGAAGTTTCGTTTGCAACTTGAGCTACAGCCAGTGAAGAAAGAACCATGCTCCCAGGGCAGAGGGAAAGCTCTCTGAATTTGAAGTCCCAAGGCTGGAGCTTGGGAAAACTCCTATGGCCAGCTCCACAGCATCTAGGATCCATAAGGCTGCACCTTTTAAACGCTCTTGCAACGCATCAACTGTTTTAGTCCCTTGCAGTTGTTTTAAATCTGAGTTGTTTGTTGTTTTGCACTTTATTTTTATTTTCTGTTTTTAATTTATTGCATAGTATACTTAGTTTTGCTTTTTATTTTATAAGCTGGCCAAAGAAAATCTATTGATGGGTGGCCATATAAAATGTAATGTGTAAATAAAATTAAATGCCTCCTACTATCAGATGTTAACATACCACTTGAGAACTACTGGTTTTAGCTCCAAATCAGCTGGAGTCCTACTAGAAGTGTATGATGTCATTAGTAAGCTTAATAAGGGAAAATGCAGATCAGCTTCCACTGAACTAATAGATGCATCACTGCTTAGCAAGTTTAGCAATGGTGGGCAATGAAAGTTCATGAAGGCCAAAAAGTGTTGTTGACAATGCCATGGGTTTTGCCTCTCCACAGTGGATTCCCGTGGGGACAAATAGCCCTTTGATACCCATAGATCCACCAACTGCCCATTCCTTCCAATTTTCAGTGCTTCATGGCTGGATACCACCATAAGGCAGATGGCCATGCATCTGTAATTTATTCCCTGCATTACTCTCTGGGTAAAATCCAACACCACTCCGCTGTGGAGTAAACTCATTAAAATGAATGCAACTTATGTTAGACATGATGCTTGGAGAGATGGACTGGGTATGACAGTTCTTTTATTCTTACATCATTACGCTAATTGGTCTTGCATAGCTAGAAAAGAAAGATGATGCGATGACAATGGGAATTTTCTGCTCTAGATCCAACTACTGGGTAGGTCCCAGAGTTGTGCATGCACGAAGAAAACCATTATTCTTTTAATTACTTTATAAACCATTGGGATTCCCTTTCCTTTTCTGTCCACCTGCTCCGACAGTGGTAGTAAAGTGTTAATACAGTCAGTTTCCTCAACTTATTTGAATGTGTCCCTAAACTTATTTGATCTGATGCTCACACAGTTTTATCTCCTGTGTGTTAGATGCACAAGCATATATCATCTTCTATGACATTCATCTAGGTGCTGCTCCAATTTGAGGGCACTTTGAGCTTCAGCTTCCCACTGTGCATTCCTCCCTCTCTTACCGTTTGAAAAGAAAAAAAAAAGGCACCAGCCTGAGAAAAGTGACTTCCCTGCAGTGCCACCACACAGCTGCAGGAGCTCCTGGAAGGGCAATCTGTAGTTACACTCCAGTGCAAGCGCAAACTCACACCCATGCGTGGAGCATTCCTGCTGCTCCAGGGCCTTCCCCTGGAGTGAGGACTCCCTGGTGGCCAGTGGCAAGCCGTGAAGGCACCCCTCACCAGGGGGGAGGCCGCTCACAAAGCTGGCTGAGAGCTTGAGCTGGCCAGGTAGGGACCATCCCTGCCCTCCCTCTTCTAGGCATGGTTGGGGTGCCAGGAGCCAGTGTCCTGAATGAGCTGGTCAGAGCGGCTGCAGCGGCAGTTTCAGCTCCATCACAGCATGGCATTGCGTAATATTTGAAGAGGTGTGTGTGAAAGAGTCTGCATGTATGTTTCTATCCCAGGGTGCATGCTTGTGTGTCTGAATGATGTGGTCTAGGGTTTGTAGGTATGGTCTGGGTTGTGTGTGTGTGCGTAAGCATGTGTGTGGTCTGGTCAGGGGGTGGTTATATGAGCTAGTCCAGAGTTTGTGAATACTTTCTGTGGCATATATGCCCAGTCTAGTTCAGGATATGTGAGTATCATATCTGGTATGTGTGTAGCGGGAGGGGGCATACAGGGGCTGAATGTGAGTGTATGTATAAAAATGTTTTAAATAAATAATACGTGTGTATTCCAAAAGTTGTTCTTCTGTGTACCTCTCAGAATATCACCTTAGTTTTTAATTATCATTATCTTGGTTAGTATGGTCTGTAGTTTATGTCTGTGGGTATGGTATGGTATGGTATGGTATGGTATGGTATGGTATGGTATGGTATGTGGGGGTAGGGTGAAAGAAGGGAGTGCCTGTGTGTGAATGGTGAGGTGACTTGGCACTTTTGCACAGAGTTCCTGCTGGATTCCAAAGGGATACACTCATCTATTATTGCATTTGGAGGGACGTTCGTCCTTCCCCTTGAGCAGTCCAGTGCTCTTTACTTCTAATGAGATACACATGATCTGGAATTCTGTACTACATGCCTTCTAAACAGGCCTACACTGGTGGATTCTTTATGACGGATATACAAAGGCATGGATTTTGGATGACTTCAGAACTTGTTCCTGTCTTCCAAAACCTGCTTTTCTGTGTGGCCCTGAAAATATCACATCTTTTCAAAAACTATCATCACTGTTATTGTGGCTGAGTGAATTCTCTCTTCCCACTTATCTTAAAATAACCTGCCTCTCTGTGAAATGGGAGCTTTTGCTGGAACCCAAGAATGTTGATCCATGGGAATACTTGTGTGTGGCTGTGTGATTCCCCGTCACCACCACTATGCCTATTTTGCAGCAGTTTTCTTTTTCTGTGGCATGGGCTGCTGACTCTTAGATATTCCAGGACTGTTCCTCCCCTGCTGACCCCTTAGCATTGCTTTCCATTCAGCTACCCTCTGTCCATCACTCTTACTGGTCAGCAACCTTCCTGATTACATAATGATTTTGTTTTGATGGAAGACTTACAATTAGGTACTGCCTGGGGTTGCCTAGTTTGGAGGGATCAAGCATTATTCCTCCAAACACAGTTTGGAGTTTTTTTCCTAGCAGTGGGTATTTCTTGTCTGATCTTTCTGTCAGTCCCAAAGACATCATGAACTTGCACTGAAACACTACACCAGCAATGGAATAAAGCACATAAGACAAATGAGAAATCAGAAAAGTAAAAGTGAGTGTGGGCATTCATTTTTAGAAAATTCACAACAGCTTCCACTGTATCTAGACAGGCTTTGAATCTTTAAAAAAATAGAGGAGGAGAAAAAAATCCTTTCCCTTTCAGGCCGAACGGTCGTTCACTGCCCCAGATGACTTTTGGAGCTATCCTAAAGGTGAATCTCCAGCCATATTGTTCAAGGAGGCAAAATTTGAATGCTGTAAAACCAGAGGAACAAGCCAAAGTTAACTGCGTCATCATACATAGAATTACTGGTGAGGTAGCCTTGGTTATCTTCATGCCAGCTGAAGAGCCCACGGTCCATTTCTGTTGATTGTAAGATGGAAGATTCTTCCCATACATATCATCTGTTTTAGCTGTTATGGACAGAATTCTGCAAGTCATCGTCAACAATTTCCTGACATATCCAAACAGAATTTCCCATCAGGTGAGATCCTGCTTCCACAAACAGTTGGGTCTTCTGCACCTGGGCCTTTCGGTCAGCATCCTCTGTGCATCAATCATCCTCTTCTCTGGCCAGGTGACCCTGCAGTGAAAGAAATAGAAACAGTTATCACTTTGCTGTGAAAACCTGGCGGTAGGGGTTAAAGATTCTGTTTCCTGTTGACAGGAATCAACATTTAAGAAAATTGTAATTAGCACCTGTTTCAGTGGAACAATCCACTTCAACATCAGATTCTGAAGTGCTCATTCTGATCTTGAAAAAGTGATTTCTTTCCAGAAAGACCAGAAATGCAATCACTCATTAGCTTTTAACAAGCATACATCCCACCAGATTGTGGGTTAAACAAGATGAGACAGTGGCCAGCAGTTCCTTAGAAGCAGGTTGTTGCCAAATGCTTATGAAGTAGAGGAAGTTGAAGACCCCCATTCCTCGGCAATGCTCTTCCCCTGAAACCCTCTGCAGCTGTTTTCCCTCTGCTCTGAAATGGCTCCCAAGAGGAAATAATCATTGAAGACAATCAGTTCTAGGATGGGCCTCATGTGTCCCTCCCATCCACCCTTCTGCATTTTGAATCACTGTTGCCTTTGCCATCTCCATCTGTACTTTATACCGATTTTGCATTATCTGAATCCTAACAGATTAGTCATGCCACGATGGCAATTGCATTCATATGCTCATAAACATGCCAATTCATATATGCAGAACACTTCATAAACCCAGGCATGGCTGCAAGCACCTCCATTTCACCTGTGGGCTTGAGTGCCATGATACTGAGCCAGAGAACCAAGGAACTTTGGCTGAGTGTTAATTAACAAAGCAAGATTATAAGCCAGAGAAGATGTCATAGCCAAACATGGGCAACACCATGTTTTAGAAGAACCTGAAACACACTTAGGAAACTGGGCCTTTAAAAATCCAAGTGCTATTTGCAGAACATAATTTTCATATTATTGCATGTTATATGGGCATTTCTATTATGCCAGAATAATTAATCTGAACATTTTTAGAAGCAAAATTCTAAACAATGGATGCTCCTGAGATGAAATCATTTCATGGAGTCTGTCTTCCCACAACAGCCTTGTGCAGCCCTCTCCTTCCCTACAAAAAGTGCTTTTTTTGTCATAGAACGCACCGGAACAGAGTTCCGGCACCTTTTTTCAATGGATTTTCCAAGTTTTAAAAGTAACTTTTGAAAATTTGATGTTTGGTCCACGTGGATTTGAATCGCTCTGTCGAGCGTAGCAGGTCAGCGGCAAAATCATTAAAACGGTGCATGCGGGCTGCTTGTGTGTCAACTCCTATGCATGCATACTTCATCCGCGCTGGTTGTGATGGCACTGCTCGGCTTGTGGCACTGCTCGGCTTGTGATTGGTTGTGTGGTCACATGCTGAGTGCTTACTGTGGGCAGCGTCCATTATGTTTCGTTACACAACTGACGTGTGTGTGTGTGTGTATACAGTGACTGACTATGTGTGAAAGGTAAATAATTTCTTTATTTTAAAAAAAAGTTGGTGAATTGAAAATCCTTTTTTAAATTTTAGTGTAAAAGTGTGACCCTAAATTGAAAAATGAAAAAAATTACTAATTACTTCTCAACCACCAGTCCTGATAATAAAAAGGCCAGAACATTAACAGACACAATGACAGAACACATAGATACTAACAGCAGGGAAAGATTTGTCGGTTGAGAAGATTTGTCGGACGAGAATTGGACAAAACTTTGGAATTTACTATGAACATTTGCCTTAAATACAATAGATTAAATTTATGTTAAGAACTGAATATATATATTTTTTTAAATAAAAGATTAACAAAATGTGAGTTCCAGCACCTTTTTTCTTACAAAAAAAGCACTGCCTACAAATGACAGATTTTCTTACCAGGGAGTAAAGCTTTGCTGTAATTGTGCAGCATAAAACTAAGAGAAAATAAAAGCTGAACACAAAAACAGAAGCTAAAAGAGGACACCTCCATGAAGAAGCAGTACAGAGCTCCTATAAATGATTCCTTATTTTGCCAAAAGCATCACACAGGTACAGAGAGATGACAGCCCTAAATTCTATAGTACATCATCGAATGGGCATTGCTGACCTTTAAATTGAATGCATAAGAATAAGACCTAGATTGCTCCTGTCCTCTTAAAAAACTTACAGACTCAGGGATCACATGAAAAATATTTAATGCTGAATTGATTACCATCTCCTCTGCTTTAAAAAAATCATTATATTCTTGCAATGTGTTTTCTTATTCTCAATAGCATCTTCCAAGTGGGAAGGGGAGTGGAGTTTAATTCTTTTATCGCCAGCTGTGATTTTATGAATAATTACCCCACATGTGCAACAGCAGTACTTAATAAAAGCCCCCATTAGTGCTCATGCAAGCTATTTTTCGAAGCCCTGTAGCCATATAATGGTGGTTTCGGTGGCTATTGCTAAAATTGCAGCAGGGGAGGGTAAAATTAAATTTCTCTGCATGAGGATCCCAATAGGAACAGGACCCTCAACTGCAGAGAGAGAATGAGAATGAATTAGCTGGTACTTTTTTCCTTTAACTGACGTGTGACAGGTTTGTGAGAATGGTTCCACATATACAGTTTTAAATACTGACATGGGAGGGGAAATCTATTCTTTTGCCCCATTTTAAGCACCTTGCACAAACAAAAAGCCAGTTGAAACATGTTGAAGGGTAGGGCTTAATCCATCTCAAACAATATTCATAATATGTTTTAACTTTTGGAGTGGCAATTCTAACCCAATGTTATCAGTCGAAAGAAATGAAATAAGATGGTAATGTTCATCCAAGATTAAACAGATTTTCTTTCTGGTTCTTTTAACGACAGAACTTAATGAATATTCAGCCAGAAACAGTAAACATAGTCCCAACGAGAACGAGTTCCAACGAAAGTAGAAACCAAGAGAGGCGGTTTTGTCTAAACTGGCACTGTGTCCGGGACTCGCTGACTGTGGCGTTCCCCTAGAAACATTAGATTAGAAATAAATGAGACTTTGCCCCAGGATGCTAACACGAAATGACTGGCCGCAACCACGTGGCTCCGGCTGGCACTTCCTTTCTGTTGCCAGGCAACCGCATGCGCTTGACAGAAGATGATAAACAGAAGGCCAGAGGGAAGAGGTGCTGCTCAGCCCTGGGCAGAACCAAGCCTGGAAGGGAAGGCAGCGCTCGGAATGGGTGGTGGTAAAAAAGGAAATTAGGTTGGACAAATTACCCGTGCACACACTCCCTTGCAGGCTAAACAAGCGGGCTCTGTTACGCTTTTAGGGACTAACAAGACATACATTCTACCATCTGGGCAATGTTTGACCAGTGAGCAGCCAGAGGCCCAAAATTAACACTCGCGCACAGTCATCTCTGCCTGAAAGTTATCTAGTTTCTCATTGTGGGCCTCTGTGCTAGGATTTAAGGTGCTGAAAAATATGTGGGTCTCATTTTAAACCAGCATGGCTTTTTTGCTGTTTGGTTGGTGATGTGGCTTATGATCCAAGCTAGGTCACTGAAAGGAACTGATACAACAAAATCTTTGCATAGTTTTCCTCCTTGTTACTCAATGTGTAAACATTTGCACTTGGACAAAAAGAAGGTGATAACAGTTGGCTTATAATAAGATATGCGGAACATTCAGGGATATTAATTTTAAAAGTTCCTTTTAGTGTTGGGAAAGCTTACATGAGACATATTACAGCAATCTGAACAGAACAGATATTGCCTAGACAGTGAGGAAGCAATGCCTGAGCCATTACCAGGATTTCGGCTATGTGGGAAAAACCCATATTATGAATGCCTCTATCGCCAACACTGCCCTAGTTTCTGGAAGCTTCCTGCTGGTACATGAAGGCAGCAGTGTGGACACCATCACACAGCCTGGGGCATCATGTTATCCCTATTTTTGAAAGGAATGGCACTACTCTATCAAAACATACAAGCTGTTCAGCATTGTGCCTTGCCTCTCAATGACCCAGAGGACAACTTCAGATGTTACTTTTTAGCTTAAGATCCAGAGCTCCTTTTGATTAGTTGACTAGTTCCAACTGCAATCCATCCAGCCTTTTATGATCAACAGCTGAGAACTCCCTCTGATTGCCACCTTTGAAGAAGTCTCAGAGGGTGGCAACAAGGAGGGCCTTCTCAGGGGTGGCCACTGACTGTGGAGTGATCTCTGTCAGCCTTATGGCACCAGGTTAAGAAAGCCTTCTATGCTGAAGGCATTTAAAAAATCTAAAGACATTCAATGGCTTGATGGAGAAACCCATGTCAGGTATTTGATACAGAAGCATATCCACATTAGCAACTTCATATAAAGAAAACCTGTATAAAATGTGTTATAGATGGTATCTGTCACCAAATAGGTTAGCTAAGATGTTTCCAAATATGTCAAATGGATGTTGGAAATGTACACACAAATCGGGTACTTTTTATCATATGTGGTGGACATGTGATAAGGCAAAAAATTATTGGATTAAAATACACAAATGGCTTGAGAAAATGTTACAAAAACCTCTAACATTTAAACCTGAAGTTTTTTTATTAGGCATTGTACCTGATGATCTTAGTAAACAAGCAATGTATTTGACTCTACATGTAACTACTGCGGCGAGGATTGCATTGGCCCAACACTGGAAGAGTGAAGAGCTACCTACCGATTAACTGATTCTAAAAAAGATCTTAGACTGTGTGGAAATGGACAGATTGACCTGATCTCTGAAGGAGAAAGAAGATACAGATTTCTATCAAACCTGGGACTCCTTATATCATTGGCTAGAGAAACAGGACTACGCATAGACTTAAATATGTTTATAATTTAACATAAAAAGAAAAAATGTGGGGGGCTGACCCAGTAGGTCTGATGTTTTCAATGATTGATGCTTTTTTAGTTTTTTGTTTGTTTGTTTGTTTGTTTTGGTTAGGTATATATTAAGAATAAAACTTATTCAAAAAAAAAAGTAATTGCTCCACACTTTCAGTAAAGATGCAGCTGAAAGCCTAGCATGTAGCTATGTAACAATCCTTTCTGAATCATATCTGTTCTGACTTGAACATGTGTGCAGGGGAGGGGAGGAAGAAA